AAATTAATTTAAATTAATAATTGAATTACGCTGTTGTTGTGTCCGGTTAATAACTGTTAGTGAACACTGAGGGCGCTAGTGAGGAGACAGGCTGGGATTGTGATGAAAAAGAGAAGAAGAATAAAGTTGTATGTAGTTGATGACATGTCTCTCGGCTCGTGTCTAAATACTTGACAAAATACCACATTTTTGGCGACGAGGATGGCTATTAATGTGCCTTTACCTACACCGTTCATGCCTTGCCCAGGCGAACCTGCTATTCCCTTCCCTACATGGCTGAAAATGTTCGAGAACTATATGTTAGTAATCGATGCCAATGGGGAAAAGTGGCCAGAGGCGAGAAAGCGTGCTGTTCTTCTCCATGCACTTGGCACCGAGGGACAACGACTGTTTTACGCACTACCAGATACAGGTACCACATATGCTACTGCAGTGGAGGGACTTAGAAATCACTTTGTTGCTAAAGTAAATGTGATTGCGGAACGTCACAAATTTCGTCAGAGGGCACAGCGACCAGATGAGTCGATAAATCAGTACCTAGCTGCATTGCGAGAACTGGCTGCACTGTGTGAGTTTGGTGATATGGAGGAGCAAATGCTTCGAGATCAACTGATAGAGCGTGTTGCCAATACACGCGTACGAGACAGACTTTTGTTAGAAGCGGATCTGACCCTGGCTAAAGCTACTTCGCTGGCTCTGCAGATTGAGGCGGGGCTACGGAATGCGGGCGTTCTCTCCGACAGTACTACTCATGCCGCGAGCGCAACGGCGGTTACTACTGCGTCGGTGAGGGCCATACATAAACAGCATAGGAAGGCCCGCCAAAAAGAACAAAAGACACCTCCTTCATCAATGGCGCCTACAACGAGTCGCCGCTCATGCTATCGATGTGGATCTACCAGCCACCTAGCAAATAAACCTTCATGCCCTGCTGCTAAAGTGACGTGCAATTCATGTGGAAAAGTGGGACATTTTTCCAAAATGTGTCGATCCGGACAAAAGGAGGTGCGTGAAATAGTGATAAACGAACTGACAGTGCTTTATATGACTGATACTGTGCAAGATAAAATTCTCTGTACTGTGCAAGTGAACACAAATGGTCATTGTCATGACGTTGAGCTAATAGTAGACACAGGTTCATCAGTCTCTATTATTCTAGAGAGCACTTATCAGACCTTTTTTCCTACATGTCAACTTTCTGATCCTACAGTGAACCTGTTTACATATTCAAGAGAGAAAATACCCGTTAAAGGGTGTATGACTGCCACAGTTAATCATGATGGGCATTCTACTATAGGCTCATTCATAGTGGTAAAGTCAGGCACTGCTCTATTAGGGCTAGATCTAGTTGTGGCATTGCACATGCGTATTGAGGGCACAAAAGTTGTTACAGCTGACAGCTCGGAGGGTCCTATTGCACAGAGGGCACCTTCTGTACCAGTCACAATACCACAGATGACACCTGAGATCCAGGTACAGGAGATTGGCTGTGCAAAGGGATTTGTGCACAAAATTCAACCCAAACCAGAGGCTGTGCCAATACAACAAAAACTCAGAAGACTTCCCTTCTCGGTGAGGCAGGCCGTGAGCGATGAGCTCAAAGACCTACAGGAAAAGGGCGTCATAGAACGCATTGATGCATCTCCATGGGTCTCTCCGATAGTGGTGACGCGGAGAAAAGATGGAGGAAAACTGCGCATGTGTGTTGACCTCAGGGAACCTAACAAAGCCATTGTAAGTGACTGTTACCCGTTACCACACATGGACGAGCTATTCTCTGAACTTAGAGGAGCCACAGTCTTTTCTACCATTGACCTGGCCTCCGCCTACCACCAAATGTTACTGCACCCAGACAGCCGTGATATGACTGCATTTATCACACATGATGGTCTTTTCCGTTTCTGTCGGGTCCCATTTGGCCTTGCTTCAGCTCCATCAGCCTTTCAGAAGATGATGATGACCATACTAGCAGGCATACCAGGAGTACAGGCATACCTGGATGATGTGATTTGCTACGGAACCACTCAACAGCAGCATGATGCCAACCTACGGAGGGTGCTGCATGCCTTGAACGAGGCAGGACTTAAGCTAAATATGCAGAAGTGCAAACTCAACCAGACTTCTTTGCGGTTCCTAGGCCACACCATATCCAAAGAAGGGCTTCACCCAGACCAAGATCAGATCAAAGCTGTGGCCAATGCACCTGCCCCACATGACACATCCTCGCTGCGATCCTTCCTAGGCCTGGCATCATGGTACAGTAAATTTATTCCTGATTTTTCTACTGTTGTTGAACCGCTTCGTCAAACACTCAGGGAGTCAACAGAACGGCAGTTCAACTGGACTGCTGAGGCAGAGCATAGTTTCACAGACATCAAGAGACTGATTGTTGGTAGCCCTGCCCTAGCACTATACAACCCTGAACTGCCTACATATGTAACTACAGATGCCTCTGATTACGGGCTAGGGGGTGTACTTAGCCAATTTCATTCAGATAACACAGAGAGAGTCGTGGCGTTTGCATCCAGAACACTTTCTCCGGCTGAAAGAAAATATTCCACTGTGGAACGTGAAGCACTGGCATGCGTTTGGGCAGTAGAAAGGTGGAGAACATATCTATGGGGACATCACTTTGTGTTACGCACAGATCATCAAGCACTTACTACCCTGCTCACATCCAGGGGTACTGGCCGTGCTGGATTGCGAATTGCAAGGTGGTCTGCAAGACTACTTTGCTTTACATATGATGTTGCTTACCGCCCTGGGAAACTGAATGTGACTGCTGACTGCCTGTCCAGGCTTCCACTGGCCACCACAGGAGAAGATGAAGTGGAACCGGACATAGTAGCGACCGTTTTATGGAATCTTTGCATGCTATATCCTTGTCAGAGTTCACCGCCGCATGTGACACTTGTCCTGAACTGACTCAACTGCGGCAGCAAATACAGAAAGGCTGGCCAAAATGCAGAAAGAACGTCAGAAACGAGCTGATTTCATACTTCAATGTACGAGACGAACTGGCTGTAGACAAAGCATTTGTCATGAGAGGTACTGACCGATTGATCGTGCCTACATCACTGCGATCCAAAGTGGTAGACTTGGCACATGAAGGGCACCAGGGAGTGGTGCGCACTAAACAGAGACTGCGAGAACTGTACTGGTGGCCACAAATGGACAAATATGTACAGAGTAAGATAGCTTCATGTGTATCATGCCAATACAATGACAAAACAGTGAAGACTGCACCTGCACCACTTACACCCGTCGAATTGCCAGAGGGACCATGGGAAAAGGTGGCCATTGACATAACCGGTCCTTTTGAACGTGCTACATGGGACTGTCGTTATGCCATCACTCTCACAGACTACTACAGCAAATGGCCAGAAGTGGCATTCGCCTCTACAGTCACAACAGAGGTGATTACCTGTTTTTTAGCTACAGTGTTCAGTCGTGAAGGAAATCCGACCTACCTAGTCTCTGACAATGGATGTCAATTTACTTCCCATGAATTTGCAAACTTTCTGAGAGAGAGAGAGATAAAGCATCTGCGCTCCAGCGTCTACTACCCAAGAGCCAATGGGGCGATTGAGAGATTTAATAGGGTATTAAAAGAGTGTCTCCAGACGGCAGAAAGAGCACACAAGCCGTGGAAACAAACAGTGACAGAATTCTTACAGATCTACCGAGCTACACCGCACGCTACTACTGGAACTACTCCATTTGAGTTGCTGAGAAATAGGAAGATGCGCACTAAACTTAACATCTTTCCTGTCTCACACAAAATTACATCACACAAGCAAGTCAAAGAAACTGTGAAACAAAATCAACAAAACAGTAAGGAGTATATAGACAGAAAGCGAGGAGCAAAAGTGCCCACCTTCCAAGTGAATGATGCTGTGCGAGTCAGGAGACCGGAACACGTTTACAAGGGGTCTTCCAAATACACAGAACCTCTGACAGTCGTAAAGAAGGTCGGACCAGGTACTTATCTTCTTAGCGATGGTCGGAAATGGAATGCTTCAAAACTGGCGCGTTTCTCAAAGGAGGCTCTAGCTTGCATCAGTGAGAACAATGAGACTACACTGGATGGTCTCACTGTGACCGAGAATGTGCATGTTGGGCAAGAACCAGGCCCTAGACGCACCCCCAGAGTCCGAAACCCACCTCGGGGGTTAACAGACTTTGAGAGATGAATACTGACGTGTGAACTGTGCAAATTGAAAAAAATATATACTCAGATTGTTTAACTCATACTGTTCTGTTATGTGAGAAAATGTCATACTGTTTTGAGGTCTGAGTTATAATAGCTAAGAGAAGAATAGCCTAATTTCCTGTTAAATTAATTTTTTTTGGTTTTCAGCTATGATCCTTAACGGGGGTATTTTACAGCGGTTGCGGGTACCGTGTTTAAGTGACTAATTCCTTTAAGAAAAGGGGAAATGTTGTGTCCGGTTAATAACTGTTAGTGAACACTGAGGGCGCTAGTGAGGAGACAGGCTGGGATTGTGATGAAAAAGAGAAGAAGAATAAAGTTGTATGTAGTGGATGACATGTCTCTCGGCTCGTGTCTAAATACTTGACAAAATACCACAGCTGTTAAATGTAATCTTTAGTAAATCTCAAAATTAATATCTATTTTTCATAATGAGCGTTATAATATTATGATGCTGAAATTCACTTGCATTATTTAAAAGGATTGATTCCAGTTTTTAAGTTATTTTAGACAAAATAGTCATATTCCCCACAACATAGTGTGTTGCTGTAAGTGTTTTCTCAACTTTTATTATTAGTACGAGTCAGAACCTGACTTTCACAAGCCCTTTTCCTTTACATCCTTACGATGCACCATCACCTTTGAAATTGTTGTACTTGCAGTATTCACTGACGCAGCATAAATTGTAGTGTGTACATGCCCTTAAACCTTGGATCAATGGATGAGGCTCTGAGGAGATGGTCCTGAAGGTTAGACTCTGTATATCTGTTTTACAGGGCCTGAGTGATGGCTGTCTTGGCAGACTTTATGGTTGGACTGTCCTCATCTCTTGGTTTCATAGTACGACAATCATTTTCTCCAGAGGGAGGATCATTAAGACAGAGGAGGTTGTTTCAGTGCTCGAGAGGGGTGTAATTGTCATAAAGGGGTTAAGCAGAGGAATAATTTTCACTACCTGTTTCAGTTCACTGTCAGAAAATATCAGCCCTTGACATTCTTGTCCATTAAGGAAGAGTATGTGGCAGGCTGCGGAACCAGACAATGTTTCAGTGTGTCATAAATGCTGTTTCATTGATCTCCGATATCATGGATGAGTTTGTGAGCAATAGCCTACATCTAGAATCTCTTGCTTGATTTCCAAGACGTCAGCTGATATCAGAAAAAATATCATGATTCACCACTTTTCTAAGCTTCTCTAAGATGAGGTGATACCTTCTTTGGCATTTTTGTTTGAAAACGCTTCTTTTTCTCTCTGTTTTGGCCTTTTATCCACACTGAGGCGGCGTTTTTGTCCTGCGAAAACAGCTGTTTGAAAACGCTTTCCCAAGGGGATAAATTTGAAAACGGTGTTTTTGTTTCAAAACGCTCTCTGTCCACACTAGGGTTTTCAAGCGTATTCCAAAATGTTCTCATCCACACTGAAACGTCGCAAAACGTGTTTTCGCATTGTAGTGTGGACTGTGAAAACTGAGGTATTTGTAAACGATGACGCATTAGTCACGTGACACATAATGAACCGATAGATATCTACTGTATGTTTATACCGGTATTGTGCCTGTTATGTGCTATTCACGTTCACACTGTTGCTAAAGACATGTTACTTTGTACACTCTTCATATTACAGTCCTGCAAAGATGACAGAACATTTACTCAAAATTGCTGTCCAGCGGCAAAACATGAGAGCAGTCGCGTTTTAGACCAAACATATAATGGTGAGTGAGTGCGACCTGTAGGCATCAGTGAATGGTGAGATTTTTTGCTAAATAAAATGATCCTGCCAGAAGAATTGTGTGTGACCTTGATGATGTCTGTTTTGTCTATATCATCTCAGTGAGCTTTTATGAGGTTTTACGCATGCGCAGTATGGTGAATTGAGTGTTTTCTGGTGTTTCAGTGAGGATGAAATACCTTTGGAAAACATTAGTGTTAATTGGATTAATGTAGACGTAGGCTTTGTTTGTGGCCCTAATCTATCTTCTTTTTTATTATTTATTTTTATTTAATTACATTTATTTATTTAATTAGTTTGGTTTGTTTTTAAAATGATAATTAATAAGATTAAATTTTTATAGGCTTTTATAAATGTGTTATAATTTGAATTTAAAATTATATGATGTAGTCATAACCCTGCTCATGTGTTTTAATCGTATAATGAAATCCCAAACCTACATATCTTTTTCTATGAACAGCCCCAGTGCTTTAGTGCTCATTTAGTTGGCACAAAGCTATAACTATAAGTGTTTGCATAAAAACAGTGGGGAGTGTGTGTTCTGCTGGCCCCATCTGTGCTTCTATTTCAGGGTGATAATATCTGTTGAATTGTATTGAGGCTGCATATGCGTCAAGGAATTTCGGCAAAAGGTTTTGTCAACCTGTTTTAACCATTGCTTTTGTAATTGACTGCAAATCCAAAGTGTGCGCATGTGGCAGTTTTACAGTTGTTCTATATTGCTTTTGATTGCATCTTCGCACTGCATTTAAAGCTGTCCCATTTAGTTAATAGTTCCTCAGTTTGAGAACTTTTTTCACCCAATCAGACATAAAGCAAGAAATGGAATGCTCGTCAATTATAAAGCTTAATTGTATATAATTTACATCCTACATGCATCATCATAAAGTTAATTTGAGATTTGCATAAAATGAGCCCTATTGCTAAAGTAGTCACTTTTCTTGCTGATTGCTCTTTGTCACCGCTGCTATTCTACCATCGCTTTGTCTCTCCTCCCTGCCGTTTCTGAAGTACATTCAAGGGGTGTTCTTGAGGTCAAGGAACAGAACAAAATTGTGAACCACATCACCACACCTCTGAATCTTCTGCCCTCTTTATAGAGCGGCTTCTTACTCCACATGCATCAAAGTCACCACCTTAATTTCACAATCTTTAATGTTCTTTTTGTTGAAGAAAATCATTACTGTACCTATCCGTGGAGACATGTTTTATGACGTTACAAGTGGAAGTAAAGGGTTTAGGCTATTGCATATGCAAACGCATAAAATAAACTCGTTATCATTTCACGAGTTCACACTTGCAGTAAAGGTTCTGTGTATTTGGCTTGCTGTCCGAGGGGAGGGCCCGAACCCAGAGTACTCCCCCCCATCCCAGGTTGGGATATGAATAGTTAGAAGTGAGGAGATGGGTTGGTGGAGGGATGCTGGAAAACTATCATGGAAGAGAGGTCTGCCGTATATATACCTCTTATCTCGCTCTAGCCTTTGATCGTACATTGGTTGTACACTCATTATTGCGGTGTATTGTGGAATTGAATGAATGCACTCGATAACGTACACTATGGTTTCAGACAGACACCCCTACAAATCGCTGTCCCCTCAAATAGTGCCCTATTTAAGGGTATTGGGGCGATTTAGAAGGTCTTACTAGTAGGGTTGCAAAGGGGCGGAAAATTTGTCGGCTAAACATCGTGATGTCTGTCAGCCATCACGATGGACGATGATATCGTCCATCAGCCCAACCCTAGTAAGAATACTAATGCAATGGCATGAACAGATACATAAATAGTAAGGCTAGCTAAACAACTGGAATGATCTTGAAAACATATTGCAGGAGGCAGAGAAAAACAGCCACATGAGGTAGCTAACATCTGCCTTATGTGGTAAATAAAGTTATGCTAGCTTATTTAGCATCTAACTTATCAGCATTGCTACTAGATGAATACATTTGTATGTGATATTTGCAATTTAAACATTTAATAAATATATTTCCCCATAATATCATCAAAACTTACTTCACTTTGTTTAGTCCACAGGCTCAAATGTGTGCCTTCAATAGTCTTGTGCTTTGGTCTTCTGTACATGTGATGGAGGCATGCACAGTGCCAGTAGGGGGTGTGGTCTCAATAGCCATGCAGTAAGCAGTGTTCTATGTGCATGTGATTGAGGAATGGCAGGGATATTCAAGTGTATTTGAATGGCATCTGTTTGTTTTAGTCAAGATTATGCTAAAATATACTTTCCTCAACTATATTTAAGTTCCCTATGAAGAGCCAACCCTCAACTTTGAAAATTCCCACTTTATTCCCATGTTTTCCCATAAATTCCTGTTAATTCCCTTAAATTCCCATTAATTCCCATGGAAAGTTTCCATCTTTGAAAATTCCCAGAATTTTGCAACCCTACTTACTAGGCATACTAGAAACTTCCAGGCAGGATGAGGCAAGTTGGAGCTAACCTCTGCAGTACAGTGGCACTGACCATGTTTGGACACCCCTGGGTCAGAAAGAAGGATTGGGACATCAAACTTGGGTCTCTGTGATCCAACAATTCTAATTTTTTTTGTCTTGCTAATAAGCTAATTGTCAACCGCATTTGTGTGGATTGGCAGAAGATCAATTAAATGAATAAAGGAACAGCTTGGTCAATGTTTGCAGTTTTCATAAGGGAGAGAGAAAGAGGAAGAGAGACATAAACAGTGACAGAAGGAGGAAATATGGGCCTGAAACTCAAGATAACATTTGCGCCCGGAAATTTGGCCTTCACGCTGACTATTCCACAAAAGTGTATTCATCAAAATTAATTGCAAGGCACAATCTTTCTGCCTAGATATAAAGAAGCTCTCTTAGTGGGCGAAAGGTCATTTTTCCCAGGCACAATTGAATCAAAAGAGCATGGAATGCATAATAAGCATTATAACACATGATGATAAAACTTCACATAGAAAAGCATGTATTCTGCCTGCTTGTCAGAGCCTTGACATAGCAGACAAATACGATTTACTTAAAATTCCATTGGCAAGTTTTTGCAGACCGAGTGATATCTATACACCTTTAAGATGTAGTTTGAAATCCAATTAGAATAACTCTAACCTAATATTTTCCCACAAATCTGATGTATCTTTTTTAATCTGATCTATCCTGATCTAATACATTTTCATAATAATTAATATTAATAAAAATTCAAGCTAGATTTTTAAAAGAAAATGTATACCAATATTGTTTATATATTTACTTAATCACTGGATCTTTTTCTGTGTTATACTACACATGCTCCAATGCATTGTACTCCGGTGTTCACTTGAATGTTGTAGATATGATATATAAATAAAAAAGTTTATCTCCTTACTCAAACTTCCGAGGAAGATGATCACTGGAAAGTGTTGTTTCCAGCCAGAGATAAGATATTGGAGAGAGATTGTCAGACTAAAGACAAACATAAATGATGAATTAGACAAAGCACATCAATAACTCTCTGAGTGCTGCTTAATGAGGCATATAAACGAACAGATAAGAAGTTAGTCTGGACAATCCCATTTATCAGTTCTCTCGAGTGACCTATATAAAAAAGAAATGGCCTGGGATTTCATACATTTCAAACAAACACTGTATTAGGCAGAGCTGTTCTGTACAGTTACATGGGATTTCGGGACTCCTTGAGTACGGTTTCTTATGATAAATAATCTATTAAAGTCACTTGAGTTGCTCTGTGTCATCTATTGTATTTCATTTAAAAGTGGCCCTTTTTTGGTTTGTTAACTGAGCTCTAGTCAACATGTGCCTTGATTCAATGATTCAACTCTGAAGCCAAAATCCACAACTTCTTGTGCTGTAACAGTCCCAAAACTTGATTTCCAGTTAGTATTGTTTCTCAGCAACTGATATTTAAGAGAGAGAGAGAAATCATGCCTTGTTTTAATACTACAATTAAGTCTTTTTCTAGTAATCAGCTAACTGGTAGTTAAAGGAATGGTTCACCCAAAAATACACATTCTGTCATACTTTCTATGACTTACTTTGCTCAGTAGAACAAAAATGGAGAATTTTTTACTGGTGTAGTTGGCT